TGCAAACAAGCATAGCCAGTTACTAAAAAATAGCGGAAAATATCCCAACAGTAAAATATGCAAACATTTGTGTTTCACACAGAGACGAAGCGGAGCTTTGAATCACTTGCGATACAACACAAACAAATCAAATCCAGTAAAAAAAGGAAAAATGAAATCGAAAAAATGAAAAAAATTGAAAAACTATGTCTACCAAAATTTATAATTTCATAAGTTTAGATGGAAGTTCATTTTAGGCAAATAAACCAGACCTTTTAATATTAATTTAGCAACAGAGCGAAACTTAAGAAGATGAAACAAAGCCGACAATCTTTAACATAACAAGTGGAGCGTAAAAAAAAAATTAGAAAAAAAAATTATTTCAGCTCCCCCAGAAACTATATTGAACAATACCTGCAATTTCAACTACAATGAAAGTGGCTTACAGCACGAGCAAAATTCGTGATGTGGCAACTAAGCCGACAAAAATTGAGCAGACAAACGAAAGTTCAGTTCTTTTTGTGTTCATGCAATTGAAGTTCTTTCTGGTAACAAGTTACGGCCGGGACTCGAACCCCATCACCTCAGGTTCAAAGGCAACGGCGTTACCCCTAGGCCAAGTTGGAACGAAGCTGAAGTTTCTTAAGCTTCAATAAAATAGCAAGCAAGAAAAGCAAGTAAGATATGAAAGAAAAGTTGTTTGGGGGGTACAAAAGTCTCGTTCCCGATAACAATACACTTGCTTTCGCAAGTGTTGAAATACTTTGATATCACAAAATACCAGCAAGCAACTTGCACCTCCGGTGATTCGCACAGTCTGATGAACGTGAAAATTGCTATTTTACAAAAATATATGGGATAACAACGAAATTAAATGTAATCGTAAAAACAGACGTATGAAACCAAGAGCGCATTCTATTTCATAAATTGATCAATTTGAATATAAATTCAACATTAAGGTTCGTTTTTAACTCAATCGGTCACATCTTCAAAACTAATGGGTCTCAGATCTTACCCTAAAATGGCCAACAGTGTAAAACTACACTTTCTATGTTGAAGAAACTTCTGAAAAGATTTCAGTTCAGGGTGACCAGTGTCTGAGAAATCACACGCACTGACGGCACTGATACTCTCACTGAAAAAAAATTTATGCCAGGCACTGAGAGTTTTTTGAAAAAATAGCCTTTTTTGGCTTTTTGACCCAACTTTTTTTCATTGGCATATTTGGAGGCAAGAATCCTCAACGTCACAGCACTCTACTGTAGGGTTGGGAGTTTGAAACTTTCCTTAAAAAACTGTAACCAAAGATTCGAAACAATCACAAATACTGTCATATTTCGAAAACTAAAGGGATTTGGGTGCTGATATTTTGAGGCCAATCTTGCATATTTTGACAGCAAACACTGACAGCATCCCACTAAAGGGCTGCTGATTTCAATTTTTTTCTCAGTATTTACCGAAACCAAAAACTTGCGTTACGAATATGGGAAAAATGTAGAGTTGAAGCGTTCGAGAACCAGTAAATTTTGAATGAATTCAAAAAACATTTAAGCGGCTGCAGAAAACACGTCCAAAAATGATTTACTAAATCGATGTCAAAAGAAATGCCCGTTGAGCAATACTAGCGCATCACTCGCACTAACGGTGCTTCAAAAAATGTTGAACTTAAAAATAGGTTATTGTAACATATACAGAAGCAGCGATTTTTAAAGCAACTGCCAAGAAAAACTGAGCTCAACTACCAGGGGTTTCTGTTTCATTAATAAAACAATTTTTAAAATCATTTTTTACATTATTTTTGATCAAAATGGCCATATCTCGAGAATGAATGAATGAGATATGAGAACTTATGAATTTAAAAAAGGGCCCTAGAAAATCGAAAGCAGACATCTGCACTTTTCATAAATAAAAAAATCTAGTTCTAACATCAATCAGAATTATAATTGATTGATTTTTTTAAAGAACTCTGTAATTACCTGAAAATACAATGGTAATATCCTGGAAATATAAATTGAGATAGTGAAATATCCGGAAAAGTACAACCCCCGGAAATTTTTAGAAAGCACCACAAAATGGTTTCAAGTCTTTTATGAAAAAAAAAAACGAAAAATGCTAAATCCTTAAAAAGCCACATCTCGGAAACCATACATATTTTATCAATGATATGGGGTAGAGGACGGATTTGATACACCTAGAAGTATCCTGACAGCACTCCAATATAGGAGTGAAAGTTTCAAATTCTTTTAGTATCTTCAAATCTTAGTTTGTTGGGAAAAAATTGAAAAAAATCATATAAAAAACACCATATCTCGGAAACAATAAAAAAAATTAGCAAACATAATCGGCGGGCAGTTTTGCAACCCTTGAGTGTACCCTGACATTACCACACCATGGGGTTGAAACGATAAAGTGTGGTTGGTTTTTTTTCAGTTAAGTTTTTTTTCAAATGAAAACACCATAAAAAACGCCATATCTCAAAAATCACTAAAAAACGCCATAACTCGAAAATCACCAAAAAAATTGAGCACCTATAATTAGACGGCTGATTCACCATCCTATTTTGTACCCTGGAGTCACCCTGCCACAGGAGTAAGGATATCAAAGTTTTAGTTGTTTCGAATGAAAAAACATTAAAATTAAAAAAAAAAACTCGGCATATCTGCGAAACAAAAAAGATTTGTGATTACGTGCTAGTCAAGGAGAAAAACAAAACAAGCTAAACTTAAGCATTTTAATAGTCTTACCGCTAAAAATATGGAGGAACTTTGAATTCGCGTATCATTGATTTTTTTCTAGGCAAAATCAGGTACCACAAATTATCATTGGAATAGTTCTAGTGATATATCATATTAAAGCTCTTTCAGTCGTGATTCAAACGACGCTCAAAATTTTGAAAATTTTGCTCAGTGTCGAGGAAAACTCGTTGAAAATTTTTGTCTAATTCGAGCAAATTCAGTGAGCGGGCAGTCCTATTCATGCTTAGTTTAGGCCGTTTCGATAGCCTATTTGTGCCTTATTTTAAATTTACTCAGCCAATATTATTTTTGGAATTTCTAACGCCCTTCTGGGAATCAAAAACTTGAAAAAATTTCACAAAAAATTGAAAAATTTTAATTTTTTTTTGTTTGTTATTTAATCATTTTTCTACAAAAACTGTTGTCCAATTTGTCTATTTCACGGGACTGAAAAAAGAACAAGAAACAAATATTTTTTGTTTTAAAAAAATTGTAACCAAATTCTGTTTCTCACTTTTTTCAAAAATCATTATATCTCAAAAAACTACATTAAACTGATCAGTTAATATTTTAAGACCTCCGCTGTACAACAAAACTTGTCTTCAAAGCTTTTATTATAAGCAAGCGAAAATCATGATACTTCAAGAATTTCGGAGTACCCTTTCATAGACAAGACAAGCAGTGCTCCAACAAATCTCTGTCGGTAAACAAACCGCAAGCCTAATAACAGATTGAAAAGCAATGAAACAACTATCAAAAACATGCAGTTGTTGACGTAGAAAATTAATCAAAAAAGTTTACAAAAACAAAGGCGTAATAACGTAATAAACTCAATTACCTGCTTCCAAATATCTATTATTAACAAAAACAGTTGTTCAACAAATTAAAAATAAGAAACATGAATGCTGCGAAACTCGCTAAGAAAAACACACAAAAAAAGTTCAAAAAATCATGTAATCTTGTTTATTTTTGATTTTTCTTAAATAGAACCTATAGAACATTAACTTAGAACTTTTGCTATTTATGCAAGGGTTAAACTAATTTGAAATAACGTAACCGTAAATTAAAGTGACAAATCAACCTAAATTAGAGCCGACACCCAAAAATCCGCTGAAAATATACTGAAAAAATCATATTTAACAAGGAAAGTCGGTTGCTGTGCAAGTATCACAGAATGTTCCGGCCACAATCATAAAAACGCAAAAAAAATTCAAATTTTTAGTTCCTCAAATTAGAGCCGTTTTTGTACGTGATCTGATGATAAAACTATACGCATGAGTAAAAAGTTAGTAAATTAGGCATAATCGACAACAGTTGTCTTAAAAAAAGATTAGCCAACAAATAATGAAATCTTATTTTTTGAGCAATATTTAGAAAAACAAATTCTTGACGAGGAAGTTCCAAACATAGCTTTCAAAAGTAGTTTCCGTTTGAAAAAGAAAATAAAGTTTTTTTATCATAATTGAGAAATTTATTAAGTTATCGTCGCTTTATTTGGTCGAAATTAAACAAAACATTTTCTCGACACTGAGATTGTTGTTTTACTAACACTGAGACTTTTGGAAAGTTTTAATGTCATTCGAATCACGACTGAAAGGACTAATATATCACTCAAGCAAGTCCGATGATTATTTGTGGAACCTGATTTTGCATTGAAAACAAAAAAGAGAAAAAACTAAATCCCCCGAGTGCAAAGTTACTCCTCATTTTCAATGGTCAGAAAAATAACGCGTACCGTAACAAGCATGTACCACCTATATAGCATCTAAGGGTAACATAGCATTAAAGGGTAACATAGCATCTAAGGGGGGTAACATAGCATCTAAGGTTATTGCAAGTGGACTCGTATGTTAACAAGCTCCGCTATGTACAAATTAAATTGAGGAAAAAGTTTATCTTTGGTTGTTCGGTTAAGCAAAGGTGAAAAAATCAGCTTTCTTCAGTGATTATTGGCTGAAACAACACAACACTTACCTAAACCATGTTTCTAAGGGGGCCGATTCATTCACTTTTCACTTTCCTACGTTTGGTTTTCTCGAAAGCTTTAAACTAAGTTCTTGCACGACTGAAAATGCTGTACTGTAATATATTATTCATACCCGTCTAACGTTTATTAGTGGTAATTTTAACTACATAGAAAAACTACCTAGAATATGGTAACTAGATTTGTAGATTACAGTTCCTTCTCACTTTCGGTGGTCGGAGAAAAACAAAAATTCCGAGAACATTATTTTGACTGCGATCATCTATGAGTGCTTCCTTCTGCAGGTCGAATCGAGTTAAAAGCAAAGGATAAATCTGAACTATAAAATAAGCAACATAATAACACTTGACAGGTTCATAAATCGGTACATGCGAAAATTTTTTCCAAAGTTGTAGCTCTAATTATCTTTTTCAGTTGGTTCTCTGCTTCTGCAAAATTGGTCAAAAGACAGGCATCGAAAATGGCTTTCAATAGCTCTACTCCGCAATCTGAACAATTCACTACGAGGAGATCAATTGTGTAAGAACTAATAATAGTCGTCACTTCTGAAGCATTTTGCCCCGTCATCAAAATTTGAATCAACTCTTTCGCCACTTTTTCGCTAACTTCTGTTCTGATTTTACATATACTCAAGATGACTGAAAGTGTTTTCTCGACAACTTCCGGGCAACTTAAATTTGAATGCAAAAAGCACAGCAAGGGTTCAATCATCCAGAGGATATTCGGATCTTGCTTATGCGATAGATCTTCCAGGATTTTGAATTGGTTCAGCGTTTCTTCGGCACTTGTTTCTAAAACCACTGAACCGGTGAAAAATTTTCGGCTTTTGCTGATATCGACAAAAGCAGCGTTTTTAAGGTTCGAATTTGATACGGCGCTGTTTGTTTCGCTGTCCAGGATACCAAGACAATTCATCAGGTACCTATTCCGCTTCGGATTTTCTGCAATAAACTCAGCGTGTGCCTTCAATGCTCGTTTCGCAGCCGTGTAGTCAAATTGGAAATACTGGTCTATCAACTCAAAAAGGTCAGCTTTAATTTTCTTAAATAGTTCATTGGTTAACGACGAAAAACATTTAATGGTTTCCAGAACTGTTTGAATGATTTCTGGGAACCTTTTATGGGAGAAGACTGCGGGCGTCAGTCTCAAAAGGGTTCTGACAACTCCTTTGAACAAATCCGCATGACCGTCACGTTTAAAAGCAGTCCAGCTACTTCTCATTCTTCCCTTGAGTAAAACTGAAATTAATTCCAGTTGTCTGGTAGCAAAAACTGGATGATTCGAAGCGAATTTGAGTATCAAAGATGACGCTAAGTGCTGGCCATCGTAGTCTAAATTAGTCAGCGAGTCGAAAGGAAGAACCAAATTATACGCCAGGATATCCATTTCGAAAGAATTTTGAAACTTGTCGGCTTTACCTACTGAAAATTTCTCCCTTAGACTCGGTAAAGGTACTGCAGTGTTTAAGTAGATCAACATTTGCATACATTTTCTAATTCTTTCATTTTTGAAAGAGTCACATATACCAATAAGATTCGTAACATTGTCTGGACATTTTTGTGTTCTTAACAACTTCAATAACAATACAATTCGCGATTGGAGTAAGTCCTGATAACTTTTGTCCGCTTTTGAACATTCGGAGCATTCTTGGTACGCTAGAATTAAGAGTTTCGAAACAGCTTCGATTCCCATGGAGAAAACGTGACATGATACTTTGTTCAGCAACCTAGTCTCTCGACCTTGATACAACTTAGGCTGCATTTCAACAGATGTCAAAAAATCTAAAATAACTGTAGGATTCACCGGAGTTTCCATTTTGTCCAAATTAGTAAGCAATTTTTCAACAGTTGTTTGCAAAGATTCCCATGACACGTTGTGTATTAAGTTGGCGGTTAGAAAACAATGATAAGCCGAAAAATTGTGTTTTCCCGAGAACAAAATGCTCCATAAGTAGTCTTCGTGCCTTTTAATTATTTCTGGGTCGCTTATCTGAACAAGATCTAACACCTTTCCTGTGCAAGAAAACTCCTTTTTTGTCAACTCGCCAGTTTTACTGGCTGCATGATTTAACAATGACTGAGAACCAAGACTTAACTTTTCCTCCGGTTCAGGAGATTTCGGTTGCATACTCGTTTCTTCATTTTGCACATATATGCTGAGCATTTTCAAAGATCGATAGAATTTGGTTTTTGCAAGACACTTCGTCAATTCGTTCTGAAACTTCGTAAGTTGGCGGAATCCTAGATTCTTACCGATTTGCATTATAAATGCCGTAAGTTCATGGACGCTCACATTTTCGACCATACTTGAAACTACATCTTGGACACTCAGTACCTCAACCAGTGCTTCACTCAAATCCGAATAGTCACAAGAAACTTGGGAAATTTGAGCAAGAGAAGAATTCTGTCCAGGATGTTTGACCATTATTTGGGTTATAAGCATAGCTAAACTCTGGACATCTTTGCAGTCTTTCGGAAAAAGCGGGTCGTCGGAACAATCGTCATGCATGTCCACATCGAGCTCGTCGATTTCTTGGACTATCTCGGCAACTGCTTGATTGCGCAATTTCCCAATGGATTCCGATACAGATGTGTAAGCGCACTCCAGTTTCGGTCCGAAATTCGACACAACGTCAGGATCAAAACTCTCCGCGTCTACAGAACGCAATGCGTCTTTAATTCCACTTAAAGAGTAGCTCTCGACTCTTTTAATAACCGCTTTAGTTATACTGGTATCGATTCCATAAAATGTAAAAACTCGAACGAGACTCGTAATGTCAACCATTTGGTCGACCCATTTAAGAAACAAATCTGCACATCGCAAGGCACACCTCACCAGGACTGACTCTGGAAGTATGTTTTTCACAACCTCAAACGAGAGATCTCTCAATGGAAAAATCTGCAGAGACTCACTACACTCTGAGCTCATGAGAAAAAGGGTAAATAAACATGTCGTAACATTAGAAGGTGCAATGAATTTAGTTCCACGACCAACTTTTATGTCTATACTAGCAGCTATTGGGTCATTTTCACTTTCATTGGCGAATAAAGAGAAAAGTATTCGACAGCAAGAAGGGAAAACAGCTTTCAGTTCGTTGCAATATTCTAAACACTTTTCGATCGTTTTAATGCGATATACAATCACATCGCAAAATGAAGTGAGGAAGCTGATTTTGTTCACGTGTTGCATCGCTATTTGGCTAACAATGAACTTCAGAGCAGAAGCTATAAGCTTCAAGTCGAACTCTTTCGCTAATGTTTGCAGAGCCAATTCTGTCAAATCATATTCTGTTAGGATGTTCTGCTTCAAGTAGCTCAATTTGGACAGTTGCTCAAATAGGTGCTCAGGGATAACTTCTGTCTTCAAAGCGACACTTAGCAGCTGTTGGATGAGTCTCCCTGCTGATTCTTTCCTTGAGAGATCGTCAGACGAACTCAGAGCCGAGAGGAGATAAGCGAATACATTCCCCGAATATTCTCCTCCCGCTTGACTTGAATCCAAAATGGAATTTCTCAAATGCGATTTCACATCTTCAATTTTGCTGCCAATGCAATCACTTCCTTGAACGTCAATGCTTAATTCCATAAGTAGAAACTCACACAAGCACTGCGGTGGCAGTGAATCGACTTCGGAGTTCATTATGATTTGAGATAACCAGGACGTTCCAGATCCCATTAAGGTTCTGTTTCGTTTCAAAATATCCAGCAAATAGTCATTCTTTCTACTGCTACACAAAGCAGCACCAATTTTCAGTGAAATGCAGATGAGCTTCAAATGAGTCAAATAGTCAGGGCTTGGGACTCTTGTCGACCCTTTCGGATCCATAAACATCAGTTGTGAAATCAGCAGACTCGATTCAGCCGTAATCGTTTTCCGCGCCAAATGACATTCAAAAGTGATGATTTCATTCCTCTCGCGTTCTGCTAATTTTAACTCATTTCTCCGGAGGTCATCGCGGTTTGCATTGGAAGCATTCGGAGGGTAGTTGAAATCAGAAGTCAGACACATTTCCATAAGCATTTTCAACATCGGCAGTTTTTTCCAGCCGACATTAGCTATAGTATCTACATTACTTCCACTGAGAACTAGCAAAACAGTCCATGCTTTCCAAAATAAACTTGAGACTGCCAGTTTTGGTTCCTCGTAATTAGCTGGTAGAGAAATACTCGCTGGTTTGCTGTACACTGCCAAGTTAAAAAGCTGATCTATGAACTCCTCGTCTCTTGTAATAACGATTGAATTCAGAGGAGACCGAGTAACCAAGCCTTCAATGCAGTTCATAGCTGCTAGAGCAACCAGTGGACATGCTGGATCTACTCCCATCTGAATGATGTTAAAGAGGCAAGACTCTTTGACGCCCGATTCGATCAGGAGTTTGTGGCAAACTGCTTGATCCGGTGGGTATGGATCCTGGCGCATATAATTTTCTAGGGGTTCAAAAAGAAGCATTTTCTGCAGCAATTGAGTGTATTGTTCTTGTGTGAAGTAACTTGAATGTGCTTTGGTCCATTCGGCAAAATGAGATATAATTTGTCCTACTGTTTTTTGAGTTTCATCAATAACTAACGAGAATTCTTTGTCTTCCTTTTTTGCCTTTGAGGCGAACAATTCTCGAGTACTCATCGGTAAGCATAAATACAACGAGTATGTTGCCAAGTCGGCTAAGAATACAAGATATTTTGGGAGAGAAAGAATTTCAGAATCCATCTTCTTTTGAACCTCAGGTTGAACATCTAGCAATTGCGGGCAAAACTGGTCAAATTTGATTTCTAATCTATGAATTTTTATCATGTCACGGAACAAAGATCGAACTGCTTTTGTGAAATCCTCTTTTTGGTACAGCACCAGTTGAAATGCGTAAGCTAAATGAGTAGTGACTAACAGGCTGTTAGATTGAAACAACTGAGAAACTACCAGCATATTGTTTGGATTCCGACCACTTCCCGAGAACTCGTTGAACACGATATTTCGAATCAGCACTTTGTTCACTTCTACGTTCCTCTCTCCCATCTCTCTCAAAGCATTTGTCAAACTGGTGGCCACACTTTTGTTCTTCGGTTTGATTCTAATCAGAGTTCCAACAATCTCTTCATTCTCGGAACTGTCCTCCTTCAGCGACGCTTCTGTAGAACAATTCAAGCAAACCGAATTGAGTAGATCTTGAGATGCTCTGCACAGTTTGGTGTTATGTAACCATGCTTCCAGTTTCGAGCAACCCAGGCTGCGCACTTTCGGAAGACCACAAGTTACCGCTAGAAGCTGGACCACATTTCGCTGCTGCAAATCAATCTGATTGGTCGAAAGAGAACAGGGCGCACTTCCTGGCTTTCCCTTAGCAAAGATCTCATTGCTCGCATCGATCACCAATTTACACAGAAGGTCTTTCATTCCAGGATAGCGGTCTGAATTCTTTCCATCTGCACTTGACTGGGATAGCAGGAAAGGGACTGGCGATCCTATCGGAGACGCTTTGGCTTCGCTTTTCAGAGCGCTAGTTGCGTTCGATCCCGAAACGAAGATTCCAGACCTCTGGCTTGCTGAGTTAAACGATTCAGCGAATCCAGGTACGAGTTCAGTTCTGAAAGACGAGATTATATTGGACACGAAGTCTTTCGTGAGCTGCGAATTGAGGTCGGACCAAATGCGTTCTTGAGTGAAGTCTTCAATGAAAAGTTTGACGAAGGATATAGGCCACGCGAGAGTCGAAGATCGGTATGAGGAAAGGAGGATGTTACAGGAAAGGGCCACTGCTACGTTACTCGGTCTTTGTTTGGCCGACCCAATAGCACTCCAACTGGAATCCCTCTGAAATGAAAATAATCCACTGTTACCACAGAAGAAACGAATCTAGTTCCCGTATTCACACAAATTTCAAAACTAAGTTTTGTCAGCTGATAGCGAGTAACCTTTCATGACGTTGAAAACCTTAATGGACATTAGGTAACTATTATTAAGGCATAATTGATGACTGATACCATAACTCCTGGTATATGAAACAAAAAAAAGCCAGCCCAAAACGCAGGCTATAACGCTTTCATAAATTTAACAAAACGTTAATTCAGAATCCTTTCACGACAGTCGGAACATTTAGGGCTACATTTTCTACGAACAGTGTGGTTGGTCCTACTTTCGAAGAAAGTGACGGATGATTTGGCTGGAGGTGGTTTTTTCTACAGACAAATTTCGTCTTTTTAATAAGCCATTTTCGACGGAATTTTTTAGATATCTTCTGAAAGCTATGGATGACCTCATCTCGAAATTCAAAATATTTATATATATATATGGCTGGCGACCATTTTTTCAACGTTCATGATGTTTGAGAATTGCCATTTGAGATACTTAACGAGCAATATATTTTGTCATATTAAAGCGTAAACCGCTAATTGAATCACTCCAAATTCGTATGAAGTTTTGTAACCAAATTTTTTTTCATTGGACAATGAATGTTGCAAGCAGTCTTATTAAAACATCAAAACGATTCTGCTGAATCGTCACTTGCTTCCTTTCAATCTACCACTTGCAATAAAACACAAAGAATTGCAGCTAGCCCAATGAAACTGATGAAAGCTTACATCTTCCGAAAAAACATCATCCAAAAACTTAAAAAGGTTCTCTCAAATGAAACTCAAATAAATAAAAACTTGTCGCACAAATACGATTGCCAGCGCTAAATTAGCCATATTACGGGCTTAGTTCATAATATTAAAAGACGCTCTTTCAGCCAGGATGAATTGAACGTAGAAAAATTTCAAACTATAATAATTTTTGAAAATCAAAGTTTTACACGAGGCACAGCAGAGCTTCAGACCACATGCGATACATCGCAAACACAGCATGAGAAACTAGCATACATAAATTGCTTCGATGTTTTTTGAAATGTCAACAAAAAAATCTGCATAAACTTTCGTATATTTTGTCTCAATTTTTCGTGAATGGAAAAATTTATAATTCAATTTGCATCAAAACAAAACTTTCGAAACGGTAACAGAGCCAACAAATTTTTAGCAGACCCCCGCTGCGCCAAAAAATTCCAACAAAAAAAATTCAAAACATTGCCAAAACAAATTAGCACCTCAAAAAACTCACACGCTTAAGAAACTTGTTTCGATCAACCAACGGCAAAATGAGGCCATGAAGCTGATCAGGTATAAGCAGAACAATTTTTTTAAGCCCAGTAAACCATTTTAAAAAAGCAACAAAAAAGCGAAAAGAAAACAAAATTACTCCCAAGCGGAGTAGATAAAATTGAAACAAACTTTTAAAATAAATATTGAATAGAACGGGCATCTGCTAAGTAAGCCGATAAAAATAAACAGACGGACGATAGTCCTAAAAAGCTTTAAAAAAATCCAGTTCGCAAAATTACAGGTTCCGGCCGGATTTGGACCACAAGCCTTTGGCGTTTTAAGCAGGTGTGTTACCTCTATACGCCAGATTCGCAGGATAGTTGATTGAATTTGAATTTATTACACAGAGACGAAGATGCGCTTAGCAAATACAGGCGAGAACACGAAAAAAGCAGCTCTATCAGTGCAATAAGAAAAATCAGAAATAAGCCTCGATTTAGTAAAAAAAATCAGCTACGTCGAACCCGCGGCCTAGAGATTAGGAGTCTCACACACTAACCACTCAGCCACGGAAGCTTAATAGGTACCAAACACTAGCCACAAATAAAGAAGAGGAGAACAGAGCTATGCAATTTCCAATGCTACAGTGAATTTTCTAAATAAGTGAACACATTTAATGAACACTTTTATGTGCATCCTAGGTTAGAAAAAAAAGAAGGTTCGTAATAATACACCAACGCGAAGCAGAACACAAGCGCGCAGAAACCCATTTTCGCTTTTCAAACGCCGTAATATTAGACAACTAAATCAAAATTACAAGGCAAAACCGTTCAAGCCGAATAAACCTAAACAAAACAAGGCTACTAGGATAGTCATGATTTAACATTCTACTAATTTTGCATTCAGTTTTCAGCACAAACCCGTCATTGAGAGGTAACCTGTTACGGTTTTAAACGGGTCTGATTGTTTGAAATTCGTCTATCAATGAAAAAGCAGTCCCTTCATCCCTTTTCTTAGGCCGATCAAATAGATTTAGGCCTTGCAAAAATAGGCCTTAAACGTATTTATGGGCGCCTTTTGGAACATTTTGAATCGAAAGCAGCCTTCACACGCCACTGAGTATATTGACAAATGATACCAACCGGGTAGGATATAACATAGATAACATCTATCAACTTCATTCTCAGTATAGAAAGCTAAGGAGAGAGAAAGAGGATGACAACATCAAACTACAACCTTCATGCCGAAACTTTTCTGAAATTCAAGCAATGTCTTGTTAAAAGAAGTAAGTCTTTGCAACTGTAAAAAAAAGATAGATTTAACCAACTCACCAACATATCCAGTATCATTTTCATTAGTTTTGGGTAAACTTCCAGCAAATTCGAAGTTTCCAAATTTCGAAATGCACACAACATTGAAGTGTACAACATCTCATTTGGCGACACTCTATTTGTAGACACATATTTGATGCCCTCTGTCAGTTTAATTACAAGTTGCGTTTCCTCTTTGGCATCAGACAACTTCATGATTTGAGACGCAAGCTTAGTAGCCTCCGGTTCAGATAACTTCGACACTTTTGAGTCTGAAACATCGCCTCCTAGAGACGAAAAAGCCGACATGAAATCCCGTTTTCGGACTCCATCGTCAGCAGAGTCCGTTCTTTTCATGAGTGAGGATGACGAAGAAGAGACAGAAGAAGATGGCGCTCCTCCCCCCAGAGCAATGAAGGACCCAGCACCAGGTGCAGGTGGCCCCGCAAACTTACGCCCACGTTTGGGTAAATTGCTCATTAGAATCTGAAAATTCAAAAAATTATCCATGATCAGTTAAAATGCTTTAATTAGCCTTAGAAAACGAAATTTTTAACTTTCGAGTTCCACAGATCAAGTTACATTATCGTATCTTTTTCGATTTCAAGAAATTTGATTAACTAATCTAACTTAAAACAATAAACTATGATTAATGCTTGAGTAACACAGCAGATTCCGGCAGCATTTTTCTATTTTTGAGATTAATCTTTTATTAATAAGAATCATTTTTTTTCTCAAATTTGCGGACGTGGGAAGAATAAAGCTTAAGACAGCTAGCTTGAAACTACTCAGGACTTTTTGATCGTATAACAGTAACATTGTAATCACATGCCTATAAAATGAATAAAAATCAAAAGTTGCTGCTTTTGTAGTTGCCTCATTATAGGGTGGTGTATAATTGTTTCGTCTTCTCGGTACAACTTCGTGATTTGTGAATGCTCAAGTAATTCGCTAGCAATGTTCGAAGCGTTCGTACAGCACAACTGTGTGCAGAAGGTTGTTACTTATCGTCTCGTCCATATACAGCACAGCGGCCTTCGCCGGTTTTCCTCTGGGTAGACAGGGCCCCGGTGCTAGAAAAAGAACCCTCCTGTGATTCTGGGCACCGCGAAGTTTTCGCCGAAAGACCAAGCCGTCAAACAGGGGGAAGGTATTAAGCAAGTTAGATTTTGGCGCTTCTTTTTTGTCTTATCCTTGTCTGCAAACCATCTCACAGGGGGACGGATTTGGGTTTCATCAACGGAGTTATGAGCCTGCGTTGAGTCGATACTGACCATAAAGAGCAAGCTCGGTTGATTTGATGAAGAAATGGTTCAACCTCGGGAACGCAGAAGCAATAATGGATTGGACCAAAGTGATCGAGTAACGATATCAATGGGGTTCCAAAGGCGTTCGAAGACGTAATTTTTTGGGGGTTTAAAAACAGGACTAGAGACATTCATTTTGGGCATTTCGATTAAATCATTTGAGGTAAAAATTGGGTAAAGGGGAGTAGTCAGAGTTTAATTTGGCGAGGCTGAGAAAAGCCTTCCGGCTAAAAATGATTTCAGTTTTGGATATTCATGAGAAGTGTATTTTTGTAACCACGCGGAGAGATTTTTGTTATTCAAAAAATTTCAATAATGTTGGATACCGCTCGTGTCTGCTGTACTTCAAGAGTGACTCTTAATTTGTCAAAAATTTAAAAAATTCAAACTTTTCGAAACTTTAAAACCTCTATCGCATGACGACTGAAAGGCCAAATGTTACATACAAATAACTCCATCTGACGTTTATTTTGATACATGAATTTGTATGAAAAACACACTCGAACCATTAACTACTTCCAGCTTCGTGGTAAGGTAAGAACAAAACGGGATTAATAGGTAATAAATTACTACTTTTTGAATTCGGGTATTTTCCGAATATTAGTAGCGACCACAAATGAAATATAGCTTTACCAGCACAAAACAAATCAAAAGACACAGTAAAAACATGTAAAACAGGGAAAAAATGTTAATACTTTTTTATTTTTCTTTGGGAACATCATTATTTTCAATTTTGTGACGAATTTTGCAAAAACTGTGGTTAGTGAAGCCAATATCAATGTTTCAAATCTAATTTCTTTTCTTTCTCCTCCCTCTACGCACAAAAAGTACAGCACCATTTTGATGCAAAGATGAAGCTAAGCTTCTCACCACTTCCGATGCAACAATAAATGAGTATCGTTAAAATCAAAAGAAAAGAAAAATAAAAAAAAATTGAAACAAAAAATTCACAAAATCGTTTGCGTAAAACAAAAATATAAAAATCCCTCAAAAACTTGAACATTTCCCTGCAGCACTAGACACTTAACAATGAGCTTTTAGAATGCTAGAAGGAAGCCGAAGCTTCAAAAGATTGGATTTTCTGGGGAACCTATGATTATTCGTCTCAAGCATGCGCGTTGCAACAGCGTGGAAACAAGCTGAAATTCAAAAAATGAGGCGTTGGGAACTAAGCCGACAAACTAAACAGAGACGTTAGTGCGAAGAAGCACAAAAACTCGAGTTTGCCGAAAAAGAAGTCAAGGCCAGATTCGAACCACAAGCCTATGCCATCTCAAGCAGTTGTTTTGCCTCAAAGCCGGATGCTCCTCATGAGTGATTGAATTTGAATTTTTACCACAGAGGCGAAGAGGAGCTTCGCACTACTTGCAATACAACAGAAATTTGGGGGGAAAAGTTCAAACTAGACGAAACAAAAAAATCAAATGTCTCGGTAAAAGACTACTAGGGGCCTGGGAAGCTGTAGGTGCGTGTTTGGTATTTTTATAGGATTGTGTTATACTGATACAGGACGAAATGTGTAACTTCAAAGATTGGAATTTGCCAAAAACCTTAGTTGTTCCAACAAATTAGGTGAGTAGAGTGAACAATTTTATGATATTGGAATTTTTCCACAAAAAATAATGTTTCTCTGGCAAAAAATTAATATTTCTGCCGGAAATAATCTCGGAACCGATTCTTTCGATTGAGTTTTTCATCTCATCTCAGATTTGATAGGGTAGTTTTTAAGAAAAATCAAAAAGTTGTTAACAAACCGAGGGCCATACATTTATGTGTAAAAAAAGTTAGGAGTAGCTGCTTATGCTATGGAGCTTTTCAGATCCATTCTGTCCATTGAAATAAAAATTTCCGATTTGTGAGGGTTGTTTTTGAGAGCATGAAAAAAATCAAAAATATGGGTCAAATATTCCCCGACACATAACTTTGAAGTCAGACGAGACTAGGTAGTATGCAGGCATACAAGGTAGTAGGCAGTCTTTCCATGATAACCGCTTTGCTAGGAGGAAAAAACTTTCAAAAGCGTCAAAACAATTAAAAACCCGATCCAATTGAATTTCTTAATACCTTTTTTTTAATCAAAAATGAATTCTAAGCAAATAAGCTAAGCAAAAAAATTTGACATTCAAATCAGCAATGGAACAAAACTTACGAAGCGAAAACAAACCCGACTTTTATAAGTAGACATCAGTCGAAACTGAAGTCCAACTGAAACTTTGTGGAGTCCAAGTGAAACTACAATGAACAACACTTGCAATTAACATGATACTTGATTATATATATATTTAAAAAATCTGGCAACTAAGCCGACAAAACTTGAGAAGACAAAATAAAGTCCGACAAAAAACAATCGAAAAAAAATATATTTTTTTCCATGTTTATTTACTAAAAAAAAACAAGTTTCGACCGGGAATCGAACCTCGGATCTTAGGTAGAAAAGGCGACGGCATTACCTCTCAGCGACGCTAGAAGTAACCTGGAAGTTGTTGCAGAGGCAAAAACGAGCTTCGCACCAATTTTAAGATTAAAACAGCATGACTCTGAAGAAGTAGCAAACAAGATTACTTTCATTGAAGTTTTGCAGGAGGTCCTTGTGAGGTTGATATTGAGCATTCGAAAACATGGAGCCAGAGTCTTATGGATCTTTAAAACAAAACCAAAAACTTCGATGCAGCAAAAAATTAGGTTGAAAAGCCAACAAAATTATAACCGAGCTGAAAATAAACCAAAAAGTACTGCTTATTTAGTCTCCACGAGTACTTTATAAGTAGTGAATGCAAGACCTATTTCGAAAACTAAAGCGACAGAGTTCAAGCGGACAAACATAAAGAAAAAACTTGGAATACATCACTAACAAAGCAGGTCAAACTAGCAAACATAAATTGGAAAAGCCGCAAAGTTTGGTAAAAAGTTAAATTTACCAACATTTTCATAAATTCGTATCAATTTTTATGGAACAAAAATCACTTTTAACAGAAAATAACATGCCAAATAAGACAACTGATTATTGGAAGTGCGTCGGAACAAAAAGAAACTTAGAAGGAAGCTGAATGTTCAAACAGTGTCTATGCAACAGGAACTAAGTCATAAAAAAGACGGACAATTGGCCGAAAAATCAGAAAATTTCTAGTTTGAAAAAAAAAGCTCAGGCAAAATTAGAACTACAATCCTTTGTCGTCTCAAGCATATGAATTACTTCTACGCCGGATGCGCTAGATAATTGATTGATCTTGAATTTAATAGAATAAACTATCTTAAAAGCCGATAATTGATTTTAAACAATAATTTTTTTCAAAAAAAAAAATTGCATTTTTTATGTTTACTATTTTCTGATTGTACAAAGGAGGGCTTAAAAGGGTGATTTACAATTTCAAAAATTATTTGTGAGGAAAAACATTAAAAACTAAGCCGATTGAATCAAGCAATAAAGCCGACAGAATGAAAGTCGAACGACCTTGGTGTCGAAAATCTACCAAAAATTTTCGAATTTGATAGAACCTTAGAAGAAAACTCTTAACGTAAACTCAAAGCCATTTCAATAACCATGCTAAGAATTGCCCATGCGTATAAACCCTGGGTATAAAATATACGGATTACCATTTGACCATTCTGTGAACTAAGATTTTTACGGGAAAGTCTGCTACCCGATAGCAGTACCTTTGCTTATCGCCAGGGTGAAGACACAATGATAAAGAAACTTTGAAAAACGTATAAAATTTTTACGAGAAAAAAAATAGTTCCCGGTTACATGACACTTGCCAAAAAGACCTGAGAAAAAACTCTCCATGACGAAATAAAAACGATGAAATCTAAGCTAGAAAAAACTTTAGGTCCCCTTGCCCTCAGAACAGACACTCACACAAAATTTGCAATGCTCAAGAAATTTTCAAATAAAAACTTCACGGCCATCAAATCATGCAAAAGGAGGACAAAAAGTCGATGTAAAATGAGCCGAAACCTAAAAAACCCAAAAAACATTCTCTAAATCGAGTTGCTAAAATCACAACCAAGTTTAACAGCCATATTCAATTAGGCCCATATAAGTTTATTGCAGGAAACAGGACCTGTACACGAATGAGTTTGATTGAATTCAGGAGCTGAATTTTGTGAACAATGTTATTATTGAAAAAAAACCTCGAGAACCCAAGATTATTGAACTAAATCTAAATTTACCATTTTTATTTGACCATTCTGAGACCAAAGCGAAAAAATGTCTTCAGCCAATTGCTTGCAATACCTTGGTTTATCACAAATATAAAAATAAAAACTAAATGTGCATAAAACTAAAAACAGTTTAACGAAATTGTTTATAATATTAAATTAATTTTGAATAATACTAAAAACAGTTCTCATTGTTCCGATTAATGAATATAGGGAAGAACTTTGTTTCAGCCTTTAGTTTTTGTCTTCCATGTAAAATCAGGTACATCAGAATTAGTTGAGTGATATATAAAATTAAAGTCTCTTCAGTCATGAGTCGAACGACATAATTTAGTTTGAAAGCTTCATCAGTGTCGAGAACAATCGTTTGCAAAATTTTGCTTATCATTCTAACTAGCAGGTGCACTGCAGCCAAAGCTGCTCCTCAAATGGCAACGCTCATCTTCAACAGAAAATCAGGTTGGATTGATGAATGGCTAGCTGGTTGTAGTGACAACTCGATGAAGGAGTGGATGGAATGCGGGCAGAATGTACGGATGGATAGACAGATAGATGAGTGGACGCATGGATAGCTGTCTATATGGCTCGTTAAGGGAACAACTTTGTTTCAGCCTTTAGTGTTTTTGTCTTCCACGTAAAATCAGGTACATCAGAATTAGTGGAGTAAAATATCAAATAAGAGTCTCTTCAGTCATGAGTCGAACAACATAATTTTGTTTGAAAGTTTCATCAAAGCCGAGAAAAATCGTTTGCAAAATTTTGCTTTTCAGTCTAACTAGCCGGTGCACTGCAGCCAAAGCTGCTCCTGGAAATGGCAACATTCATCTTCAACAGAAAAATAGGTTGGATGGATGAATGGCTAGCTGGTTGCAGTGACGAATCGATGAATGAGTGGATGGAATGCGGGCAGGATGGACGGATGGATAGATCGATGAATGGACGCACGGATAGCTGTCTATATGGCTCGTTTGAAAGACGACTGGCTGGATGTATGGATGGAATAATGGTTGACGGTTTGGACGAATGGCTTGATTGATGAGAGGATGACTGGATGGGCTAGATGGATGGATGAATAGTTGGGTGAAAGGCTATATGCAATGATTCTGGATAGATGACTAGATGGCTGGCTGCATAGCTAGATGAATGGAGGGCTGGCTGTATGGTGAATAGCGGGATAGAACGACGACCGAATGGATGGATGGCAAGATGGATGGATGGCTAGATGGATGCATGGCTTGATGGATGAATGCGAGGCGGATAAGTATCTATCTAAATGAATGGATGGCTAGATCGATTATGAATGGCCGGATGTATGACTGGCTGAACGTAGAGATGGACTACCCGATGATTGATGGCTGGTCGATATTGGTGGATCGTTGGATAGATTACAGGATGGGCGGGAGGCTATATTGATGAATAGATGGCTGGTTAACAGTATAGATGGAAGGTAGGATAGATGTTTGAATGGCTGGATCAATATTTAGACGTATGGCTAGATAGATGGATGGTTGGTTGGATTGAACTATGGTTGAATGGATGGATGGCTGGTTGGATGGATCGGCCGATGGCTAGATGGATGGTGGCTTAATGGATGGCCGGTTGGGTGGATGCACGGCAGTATGGATATTGGCAAGACGGTTGGAGAAATCGATGGACACTTAGATGGCCGGATAGATGAACAAAAGAACTGCTATATGGCTGGTTGGAATAATGGCTGAAATGATGGATGGCTGCTGGGATGGATGGTTGGCTAGTTGGATCGAGGAATGGTTAGACGCGAAAATGGTTGGTTGGATGGTTAGATAGACGGCTGGGTGAATAGAGGGATGACATGGATGAATGTACAACGATGTATGAATGGCTGAATAAGGGCTCCATAATGGATGAATATTCCGATGACTTTCCTTTTATATTTCCGATCTCCCATGATACAAAATCTGGCTACTGAGAAAACTTGCCATGTACTATTTGAAGGCACATTTCGGAAGCTTTTTACAAACAAATTTTCATCTTAATTAGAGGCAGCACTTCCTTAATGAACTGCTGCCAGTTATAAAAACCAAAATACTTCACTTGGAATAGAATAAACACGTTTAGAGACCTAAAATAGAATGCATTTATCCAAGTAGATTGATTTCTTGGGTTTTAGAAACTGCAGTATTGCGGACGTTTTGTTAAATTTACAGACTAAATATATTTACAGACTATATATATGATACTTTCGGGGTTTGTGAATCTTTATTTAAGTCGAATCCCTTATGAAGGAAGTCAATCTGAATTCATATTAGAAAATCTGAAAGAAAGCGTGTCAACTATATCAGATCTTTTTTCAAGATAGTTTGAAGACTTCTTTTTGGTTGAGAAATTTCTTCCATTCGCTCGTTCTGCCATGGGAATAAACCCGTAGAGCAAATTAACCAATTAAGTAGACGTTTTCGAATGCTCGCTCCCTTCAATGTCTTCAAGAACTATTGCACTCTTCTTTGCTTTTTTATTATCTCTCTCTTGACTGGTTACAGCTAAGTGTTTAGCGACAAAAAGAGATAGCACAGACAGTAGGATGAGTAGAAAACCCGAGTAATGGAGTGGGTTGAAATTGGGCAATGTGTGATAGAGAGCGAAGTCTGCGATGGGCATGAAGACTACTTGTGTCGTTAGCAGAATTGGTAGCAAGGTGATCTTCTCGTATTTTAGACTGAAACAACATAAGATCAATTAAAATTAAATGTAAAAAATGAAAGTTTAAAAATTAGAGTTAATATTAGATTATCATACCGTAAATCATGTTACCACGTATTTCAGCAGCCAAATATTCAAATGGAAAATTTGCCCCCATTGGGGGAGGGGTAGAAAAAAAGGATTTTAGGGCCAGTGGTTGTAAAATACCTGAAGAAGAAACAAAACTGAAGTCCCATTGAGAATAGAACTATGAAGATGAAGGCAAGTTTGACATTGATGGCACATACAGTGAATAGAAGATGTAAGCTTCCAGATAAAGAAAGAGCCAGCAAGGAAAACATACATCCACTAAAACCAAACAAGAATATCGTTTTCCTTTTCCAACAACGGTAACTTTGATAATAAAACAGAAGGATAAAAACAAAAAATTGGAGAAAAAAATCCACTTGTTTTCCGGTTTTTTAGATTCCAGGCGGTGGCAGTGGTTCAATTAATAATCTTCAAGCTTGTGGTAATTCTGGGGCTTTAACATGATACCTTTTTAGCATTTTGCGTACACAATTTTTCCAAATTCTAGACTGTCTTCAGTATTGTGATTTTCGTGTCTAAACAGTATTTTTTCCCGGTAACCCTTTTTTTTAAAACATTCAAATTGCAAAAGCTTTGCCATAACTTACACGAATGCCTGCAACATTGCTGCAACAGCCCAATGTATTTGGCCCGAAAGCGATATCATTCGCATTAGCGTGCCTCCGAAGGCGAACGAAATCATACCAGACAGAAACACGGCCACTCCAAAATAGAATCTAATCCCTGAACTGTCTGCCGTTTCTTCTGATAAATCGTCTGATATTTTCTTCTCCGCGAATCCAAACACTGGAGGCTGTATGACTAGAAATGCCCCTGTCATGGCACCAAGAGCGCATCCAAGTTGGAACAAAGTCGGTTTTTCTCCTTAAAAATCAAATAACACATTTTTCTCGAAACTTAGATAAATTTTTCGAACTGTTTTAGAATTTCAAACATGACTGTAAGGGCTTTAATAGGATACGACGCTTGACCACAGTACGAGCGCTCTCCGAATTGTTCAAAATCGGCTGCAAATAAACCCCACCCTACACAAAGTTCCTTCCCACTCTAAGAAAATGATCCAGTTCTCCAAAAGCTGTTTCAAATTGTTTTCGAACGTTAGATACCCGAAGATTTGAAGTTGTTAAACAGACAAGTTGTGAAAAGTCTTGATTCCGACTTGATAACGCTTGCTAAACGCAAGCGTAAAAACTATCAAAAAAATTGCAAAATCTGGAATCCAATTTTTCAATTTAATTTACAAAACGCTGTGACAAAGTGAACGGAAACATAGAAAAAAGTAAGCACTAGACAAAAAAAACTTTTTCTGAACAATTACGAACCCAAAAAATTACGAACCCAACCCAAACTTTCATTTCGATAACATAGCCAACAGACAGTTGCGAAAGATTCAATAAACGCAAGTAAACACAAAAAAGTACTGACTTGATTGTTTTGCACAAATCTCAGCTTTCGAACTTCCAAGAACAAATAGATGAACTTAAAGCTCTACAACAATTCTTGATGGACACTTTTTATAAAAAAAAAACTCAATGTGAGAAAACTAGATCAATAGGTAAAATTTGTATTTCACAAGGAAAATCGGATGATCAAATTCCAATTTCGAAATTAGAAGGAACACAATTTAGGACTTTTCCCGAAACTAAATTCATTGACTCTTCTTAAACATTTACAAAACGATACAAAACAAGCAAAGCCGCTAAGTCGCAAAAAACCACAAAAATGTCAAAAAATGTCAAAGAATAAGGCTAGACTTGAAACAAAACATGCTAAGACCACAGAATTTGAAATTAGCATCGGAAGAAAATTTACCAAGCGTTAACAAGCCGAAAACACCTTAGCAGAAACCTTTAAAGCCGAAAAAATCAACAAAACTTAAGACTGATAAACATTTTTATTAAGAGCCACTCACCCTCAAATCGCACACAAAACCATATTTGCTCGTCAATGAAACAATATGAGGCCACTAAGCCGAAATTCAAAAAAAAATTTATGACTAATACAAACTTATCAAGTCCCCCTCATATTCGAAACACACACACGCACATGCTAACTTTTTCGCTCGTCAAAGACGCAATAAAAGGCATTTCAGCCAATTTCATATAGGCCGAAGACAATCAAGCGAAAAACGAAACAAAAAAGCCGAAAAACTCTTGTAATGAAAAACGATAAATTCTTTTTAGCATTTTCGGCGATCCAAAGTGGAGCATAAAACTTAGCTTATACTTGAAACTACTCAAAAATAGGCCATTAAGTCGATAAAAAATAAGCCAAAACCAATTGGGCAGAGTGAAGTTTTTCAGCAATCTATATATGTAAGCAGACAATTAATAAGCCCTCAAAAACGGAATACTTCCCGTTTGGAAAAAAAACAGGTCTTGTCAGATACGAACCCAAGACTGTTGCCTTCCCAGGCGTATTCGTTACCTCCGAACCAAATGTACCGAGACGCAAAGATAAATATCTTATGACCTGAACCTAAATTTATCAGTTCTTATTTTTACCATTCTGTGAACAAAGTTATTTACGGTTAAAAAAAGTCTAGAAGTCGAATGCAATACAATTACTTATCGCAAGGGTAAATATTCGAAAAAAAAACAAAAACAAACACAAAGATCTATCAAAATTATGATAGTTCGTCTCTATTGGTAATGAAAAAAGTTTGTCTAAAAACCATGCCAAGGCAACAGAATGCGATAATAACAATTTACACAGAGGCAAAGATGAGCTTCGCAACACTTGCGATGCAAAACACACATTGCGCAACAAAATAGTGAATGAAAAAAGACAGAAGTCGATAAAAAAATTCTGAAAAATTATTCTGAAAAAAAAACTACTAGAAAACATAAAATGACCAGACTTGAAAAAATGGAAATCATCTACCGACCGGCAACAAAGGCGACAAACTTTGGGTCGAAACCTGTTGAGCCAAAACAAAACTATTGTCACATAAAACTTCATTAAATTTTGAAGTTTTTACGACCCATTCAAACGGAAACATATAATCACAAACGGATATATTTGCCCTCGAAATTAAGCGAAACAAGTTGACGAAGTCGATCCTCAAGAAATGAAGATCCTGTAGAAGGTGTTGTTTACGGTGAAAAATTCTAGTACCCGATTGCAATACCCTTGCTTATCGCAAAAGTAAAAATCGAAAAAGCGGTAACTTTAGCAGAAACCTTTTGAACACATACAATGACACTTAAAAATTTATTAAATGGCTGATTCAAATAATAATTCGTAAAATTAACGAAACAAACCCTACGTAAAATAATGAATGCTACAATCATGGTGAAGACAGCTTGTGTCTGAAGAAGGAATCCCAGCTCAGTGAGAGGGAAAAAAGCCATGCTCCAGTAGAAACATCCCGCAGCTGACCCATCACAAAGAGATCTCAATAGAAGCAACTTCCAGTGACTACTTAATTGTCTGAAACACATACATAAATTTTCAATTGAATTTCATTTTTCATTTATTATATATTCAATATCAAATTTGATTTTTTTTCTTTCAAAGAAAATAGGCATGCGAAAGAGGCAAATGTGGCAAAAAGCATTGAATAGAAAATACAGATAATTGCGTGCCAGCTTGCCGCCCAGCTTACACTTTACATCAATTTGAAATCAACGTAAGAAACCCACGTTCAAACACCGAAAATATGTTGGGTCGTATTTAACCGCTATACATTTCATTGGTTTGCCAGTAAATTAAGTTCGTATCAACATATATTTCAATCGGTATCACTGACCTGAAAAGACCATATCCACAGCTGAAGATAGAAATACAGAGCAAGACTAGAAAGGCTCCAGTACAGCGATAGAAGAAGGCCACGAGAGGTGTCACTTTCGTGTATTTAACACATGTGAACATCAAAGTCACACAAGCCGACGCACCAATTCCAAATAATTTGCCACGCGACACTTTCCAAACTGCAACCAGTGAATTTCCAATAGATTCCAGAGCAGCCATCTTTTTTAGATTGGTTTCTGCTGCAGATCATACGATCATACAAGCATTCAAAGAGCCCGATGGTAATGATATGCAGCTACTGAAGGATAGATTACATCCATGGGTAATATTTACATAAATTTGATTACAATTGTTATACATGATTGCCCAACATGATTGATCTGAAAATAACAGATTAGCACAACAGCTCAAATTATATGGAGAAACTTAAGAAGAAAGATTTGAAAGCTCTTTCTCGCACATATAATTGTTTTTGAAACGCATATGAAAAAATAACATACCAACAAATTAAACAAATGAGAAAATAACATACCAACAACAAATTATGAACTCGAAAGACATCGAAAAAAATCTATAGAATGGTTTTTTGGAGAACTTTCAACTTTTGAGATTCAAGTAAAATATTTAGTCTTAATGCGCGTTCTACTTCATAACTCTTTCAAATAAAAACCAACACAAATCGAAAAAAAAAACTGGATGACTGGCAGTTTCCTATTCCACTGGGAAACCTGAAAAATAAAATCCATTATTGAAAATAACAATCTGTCAAGCCTTCTCGCATCATTTGCATGTTTCACATTGGAATGCGTTATTTCTCATTCAGTTAGTAGATGAATTTGAAGTGAACGTCAATCACAAGAGGCGAAGCGTAGTTTCGTACCATCTGTAATACACAACATAAATAGCACGGCAGCTAGTCGAAAAAAATAGGACGATTAAAAATAGAAGAAAATGCCTAAAAGATTCCTTGGGATGTTTCAATGTAAAATCAAAACAGTTAAGATTACGTAATTCGTACCCAATTTGTCATGTAGTCGACACGAAAATTTGAACATCAGTGAAATTTCCCCTTTTAAATATTCCCCTGAATTTATTATTGAAAACGACTGGTGCTAATAATTTCAAATTAAAATTTTTGTACAGATTGCAATTACAGAAACTAAATAATGAAATTTTATGAATTACGTCAAGATTGCAATTAACTTTGGCCCTAACAATTTCAACTTAATAATTTTTATATACAGATTGCAATTACAGAAACCAAATAATGAAATTTTATGGGTGCATATACAAAACAGTCCCATACAAAACAGTCCCATACAAAAGAGTCCGAAACATCAAAAAAAGGTTCTAAAAAACAGTCCCATACAAAACAGTCCAAAACCAGTTGAATTTCATGACCTTGATCTTTTGGCGCCGACAGAATTGATCTACGCTTTGAAAACTCAAACAGCGGCAATTAAAGATCAAAGAGCCAAATTTGGAACAATAATTCGGATGAAAATCAAAGGACTCATGGTTTAATGGTTAAAGCGTTAGTCTCAAACTCTAGAGATCAAAGGACCGAATCTCCGGCGGCACAAAAAATTTTCCAATTTTCCGAAAAAAGTTGAAATTCGGGTAAATATGATAACGGGTATATCTAGGGTACAACAAAGGGTTCAACCTTAGAGGGTTGGGCGGAGGGAAAAGAAAAATCAACACCTTGTATGTATTCATTATTTTGCCGGTTTCAAATCGACTCTAGCTCAATTTTGAAAAATCAAGGTAATTAATTAACTTGGAAAAATTTTATTGCTTGGCAATATGGAATAAATGTGAAAATTAAAAAGAAAAGAAAAATCTGATTATGGCCTATTTACAGCTTGCGGATTAGCAGAATAACTAGGTAAATGAACAGCTGTTTCTCGGTTCACATAACGTTGGGCTGCGAAAATAGTCTGTCGCGGTGTTACATCGGATACTGCTGCTCGATCTTTAAGTGTTTTTCTGAACTTACGTTTTTCGATGTCAGCTGGATCGGGGAAGTGGCAGTGATCTTTAACGATCTCAACGGAGTCGTCCTTTGTACGCACACGGCCATTGCAGCTACTTTCCGCAGCGCCAGGAAAGGGAGTTGTCTGCCAGTGTTCTGTGTTTAATATAAGCATACCCTTCAAAAATCAGTAACTCAGAATTTTTGTTTGTAAGTATGATTTCTATCGATAGATAGTTAATTTCGTTTCTATTGAGTGTTGTCAAGTGTTTGCAAATGAAACAGATTGAACAACCTGTCTCTTTTTGCTTCGATTAAAAAAAGAGTCCACTTTCTTAAATTGCGTTAACTTTAATGTTTCGAAGATTATTGCTTTTATTGAGTGGCCGCTGCTGTTATCTAGGTTGTTCTAATTTCTCTACTAACTACCTATTGTTATCCGGATTAGTTGGTATCAAAATGTGTTTAATATGAGATAAATTTACTTATCAGCTTCTAGAACAATTATCACTTCGATCAATGGGACTGTTTTTTGGACTATTTTTGGGACTGATTTGTATGGGACTGTTTTTTTGTACTTTGCTATGTTTTTTCGGACTGTTTTGTATTGGACTGTTTTGTATGGGACTGTTTTGTACAGACACGATTTTATGAATTGCGTCGAAATTGCAATTAACTTTGGCCCTTGATAATGTCTGTCAGGTAGAAGTACTGGTCTGTTGATGGTTAGGGTCAAACTCCTCTAGTTCCAAATCGGTTTTCTGTTCCTGCCTTCGTTTCTCAAATCTCACCACAGATAAATGTTTGGCCACAAAAAGGGACAGCACCGAGACTAGAATGACAACCGAGCCCGTGTAGTGAAATATGTTTAGCAATGGCAGTGTGTGATATAGGAGGAAATCGGCAATGGGCATGAACACTACTTGAGTCGTCAAAAGAATCGGAAGAAGAGACGCTTTCTCATACTTCATGCTAAAAAATACAACAATGAAGTAGTTATGAAGCGATGGTGAAGTGGCTAAGGGTGGCATATAAACCAGCCGAAGTATCAACCAGCCGAAAATATGTAAGTGTTCTATAATAGTTATGTAAGTGTTATATAACAATTAAGTAACAGTTACGAAAGTTCATTCATATGATGTAACTTTTCGGCTGGCTTATATACTCCGCGCATTTTTGCTTGATTTATACTTTGGCTGATTTATTTACTCTCGTGGCTAAAGTGTCGGCTTCTTGATCGGAAGTTCAATCCTCGCCATGATTTAAGGAAGTTGCCGTTTTGTGAGTCAACAATTCTCAATCCAGAAAAAAGCCAAAAAAATACATGTAGCTCTTAAATGGGGGCACAACAGCTGAGTGACATTAAGAGTGACTTTTTCCCTGTGATAACATGATTTGAATAATAAAACTATGCTGCTCTCTGAAAAATTAAGCTTCTCTCGGTTAATTAGAAATTGTCATGTCCATTCTGAGAAACCAACTAAAATGTTTTGAAATTTCACGAGTTTCCTGGTTTTTCCCAGTGTAACATGTTTAAATTTCAAAACTGCTACCTTAAACATAATTCAGTTCAGGATCAACCGCCAACTTAGTCTTGACAGGCCAAAAAACTTCTCAGAGGGTAAAAATTCTCGAGTTTCCATACAAAGCAGTTTCATTTTACACTTAATAAACAAGACAGCGAAATTCTTTTAAACTGTAACAGGTTGATAATTAGACTTTTTATTCGCTTGAAAAGGTCAAGTAACTTCTTCGGATGTTGGAAAGCCCTAACAACAGAAAACTCAGTTATACCTGAAAAAGAAACCGCCTTGAAGTGCCACAGCCAGCAAAACTATTGCACCAATTGAACATCTGATACGCACTGTACATATTGCAAAGATGAAGGCCACACTTCCAGTCAAATACAACGCCAGCAGTGAGAAGAAGGCTCCTCTGAAATCAAATTAAGTAAAAACTTGGACCTTGTAAGTCCAAAGAGCTATATGACTTTTTTCAGTGCAAGGAAAATCAGGATTAATTGCTTGAAAACAAATAAATTTGGAAAGTTTTCTTTTTCGAATTAGTGTTATATAACAATTAAGTAACAGTTACGAAAGTTCATTCATATGATGTAACTTTTCGGCTGGCTTATATACTTGCGGTAAAAACTTTTGTTTGAAAAACAAAATAAGCCTGCTCGCTCACCTCATTCGCTCGAAAATAGAAATTTTATTCTGGTTTTCCTCGACACTGGGAAATTTTTGACTTTTGGGGAAAATCCAAAAAGTTTTCTTTTTCGAATTAGTATATTTTTTGAAAGCATGAAAAAATTTCAAGGTAGAAAGTATGGTTGTAAGTTGAATAAGTGCGGCTGCAGAAAGTATAATGTACTCACGAAATGCCCTGTAGCATTCCAGCCACTGCCCAGTGGATCTCTCCAGAGGTCGAGATCATTCTCATCATAGTTGCCCCAAATGCAAAAGTCAGCAAGCCGCACACGACAGTAGCCAGACCAAAGTAAAAACGGATCCCGGAGCTGTCAGCGACATCCGCAGATTTCGCAACGGCATCGACCCTTTCCGGAAAGCCCAAAATTGGCGGTTGCATGAATATTATAGCACCAATCGTTGCACCAACAGCACATATAATTTGAAACAGTGATGGTTTCTCCCCTAAAAGCAGTATTCTCCTAAAACACCATCTAAACAATGGTTCTCAAATTTATTTGTTCAGTTGTTAGCTTAGAGTAATCAATCTCTTTCCATGAGAAATCCTCAGAAAAACACGTTAAAAGCACAATTGAAGCTTCACAAAAAATATATGGCTAGTAAATTAACAAAATATTGGGCTCAAACCGAATAAATTCTACAAAAAAAGAGACGCACTAATTCAGCAAACTCAATTTCAGAAAAACAGTCGAAAACACAGCTATACTATTAAATAAGCTTTCTTCTACCGAGCGGCCACTAAGCCCACAAAACTTAGCTAGACGCCCGTTGAGCCAACGTCAAAAAAAAAAGCCATGACAAAAAATAAGCGATTAAGTTTTCAATCTTGAAGCGTTTACAAAAAAAACATCCTCCCTGAAATTATCATAATAAGTCAAGTAAGTTTTTCTATTCAAACTAAAAGTAAAATAATATGAAAAGCCGATAAAAGTTAGCCAAAACCATTTAAGAAACAAGGATAACCGGTGGCTGTGCTAGTAGCGCTGAATGCTCCGACCATTATCTTATAAAAAAATACATAAAACGCTTTTTTCAAATTAAGGTTGTTTTTGCGAGTCGTGTGATTTAAGGATCTGAAAAAAACCGAGAATTCAGGCATATTCGACTGTCATAGTAAAATTGGCAAATCAAGCGATGGTTTTAGGCAAAAAAAGACAAAAACAAATTCTAAAACTTTTTTTAAAATTTTTTTGCGATTATGTTTTGAAATGTTGAAGTTTTTATTCCAAAGATGGTGCTGAAAAATAATTTTACTTGAGTTCAACTTAAGTTTCATGGATTATTATTCTAAATGATGACTTTTTGATTTTTTTTAATGTTCAAATCAGAGCTGAAAGGGCTTTAAAATGATATACTAATCCGCCAAATACGACGATTACTTGCGGTAAAAAATTTTAGTTTGAAAAACAAAATAAGCCTGCTCGCTCACCTCATTCGCTCGAAAATAGAAATTTTATTCTGGTTTTTCTCGACACTGTGAAATTTTTGATTTTTGGGGAAAATCCACAAGGGAATCACGACTAAAAGGGCTTTAATTTGATATATCGCTCGACACATTCCGATGATTATTTATAGTACCTAATTTTGCATGGGAAAAAAAAGAAAAAACTAGAAACACATCCGAATACAAAGCTCCTCCCCATTTTCAATGGTCTGAACAAAATTAATTTCCTAAGCCAAAAACATTTAATCGAAAAAAATTCTAGCCCAATAGCTTCCAAGAAGGCTAAAATTTAGCAAGGCCAAAAAAATTGAGCAAGAACTATTGAGACAAATACTAAAAACATACTAACTCAGTATAATGAAGGCAACAAGCATTGTGAATGCAGCTTGCGTCTGTAACACGAAGCCAATCTCAGTGAGGGGAAAGAACGATAGACTCATCCAGATGAAGCCAGCAGAGGATCCGTCGCAAACAGACCTCACCAGGAGCAGCTTCCAGTGGCCTGTAAAAATGGATGTCACATTTTCAAACAAAATAGAAAGGGCTGAAAAAATTTTGGTTTCTACTACCGTTTCCATCTCTCCCAGCATACGACGCTTTTATTCAAGTCATCCATTTTGCATTAACATAATTTCCTTTTCTAATCCTGTAAATCTACTTGTTCAGTATAAAAGTGACAATTAACTTCGGTTTTTTCATTAGCCTCCGGGCCAGCTTCCACCAATCAATCTTGGACATTTTTTCCGTGGGGGGGGGGATGTCATCTATTTTGAGGAAGCCGGTCCCACCTCGAGGAGGCGGATGACACTGAGACCGAAGCGCGAGTCGAACACAAGACCTTGGTGTTAAAGGCCGCGCGTCTTATTCACAGAGCCATGGCTGGTCATTAATTTCGGTAGGGCGGAGCGGCAACTGAGAACTGAGTCTCTTGACAACAAATTGATGATGAAAACTTTATCCGTGTGCGCGCTTTTGCAACGACCATGGCTTTGCAAAAAACTCAGGAATCTTTCAATGTTTCGGGTTTATTTCGTTTTCCAGCCGCTCTTCCAACCCATGAATAATCAAGCCTTTATACGTCGCAAGCAACTTTGTGATAAATTGCTATTTTTAAAGGACAGTCAGCAGCCCTACCTGTGATTTGTGTGACGATTCCATATCCACACGAGTAAATGGAGATACAGAGAAGCACCGAAGCGGCGCCCAAACACCGATAGAAGAAAGGGACCAGAGGAGGCACTTGTGTTGACTTGGCAGTTGCCAGAATCATTGAAACAATCACCGACACCCCAATGGCAAACAGTTTTCCTCGAGACACCTTAGCTCCTTTTACTTATTCCGCCCAAAATAACGTTTAATCATAATGGTTACTAATCAAACGGGATATAAACTCTTTGATCCGACTTTTTCTATTAATCTTCTCGCTCACTTTACCGGCCACCCCCACGTTTGGGAAGGATCTTTTGCGTTTTTAACGCAATATCAGGTCGCACAAATAACAGTGACCGAATCTCATATTGAAGCCCTTTCAATCGCCGGTCGGATTTTTTTTCAAAATTTTTTAAACGCAATATCAGGTCGCACAAATAACAGTGACCGAATCTCATATTGAAGCCCTTTCAATCGCCGGTCGGATTTTTTTTCAAATTTTTTTTGGCATTAACTAGTCGTCGAAACATTCTGTACAACTTGCTCAGCCATATCGGTAACTCTTTTTCTATTTCTATTCTCATACTTTGATATTTGAGCGGACTAGGCAAAATGACCCGACACCTTCCACGCTGACAGACACATTTTCCCACACGAGCTATTGATGTCAGTGGTCTTCATAATTGATACCTCAGCTGATAAGCTTACCTTATGGTTCACTTTTTCAATATCTAAGCCATATGCACGAAGACACTTCTAATGGTGCTTGAAATTAGCTCACATGTTTGAGAGAAGCGTGATAACATTTTGAAAACATTTTTTATCTTAAATATAAAGCATTTATTGATGGGGGTTTGTTATAACCTGAAGGCGTAGATAGAGATAGATAAAACCTCCCATGTTTGTCTGCTGTTAAAACTTTAGAATTAGAGCGAGACACTTTTGACGAGTTTACCAAAAAAGTATTTACGCTCAATATTAATTTCTGGAATTCTGTTTTTCTACCTCGACGACTTATACTGTTGAAATTTGTGTGGTCAACCCTACATCATTCTCTATCCATTGAGTCGACAGTCAAACACATCTGAGATTTTCAACTCGTTCCCTTTTCTCGGAATAATTTCCAAGCACAACGTATAAGATATATTTATCACAAAAGCAAACTCGTTTTTTTTGTTATGTTTTGACGGCAATCAAAAATTATTCAGTGATGCATTGACGTCAGAATGCATACACGGTTAAGCAAGAGCATGCATTTATTCTTTGATAACAACTGATTATCGGTCCCTTTGATGAAGTTTATTTATACTTTTTAAATTTGTATTACGCTTTCCAACCACTTTCGTGTAGTTCAGTTAAACCGTTTAATTTGGTTTTAAACTAATAAAATCGTTTAAATATTACCAGTCGCGCATGCTCAAAAAATTTTCAACACGGTGTTTTCATTAATATTTATCAACAGCAAAACTGCATCTTTTGTCGAAGAAAGTCAGTTCGTATTATAACACTCCAGTTTACTAATTAAAATATTAAACAGATTATGAAAAAACTTCTGGTAACAACAAATATTCGAGCAAAAATACGCAAAATATAAATTGCAGTAGGCAAACACAAGCCAAAAAGGGAGTGAACATAATAAAAAAGCTCTGAAAACGGCAAAAAAGTGAGATGCAAAAAAAAACGAAAAAAAAAAAAACGTTTCAAATAAAAATCAAAGAAATGATAAAAGCGACGGATAATACGGGATTCGTACTCATATCTCCCGCCCAAAAATCAGTTCGTCAAGTCTTAGTTTGTTCTAACTTCACACACTACTTTAATTTTATATATCAGGCAGCAAAGAATGAGCTTTGATACATGGGATATCGCAAGATATACCGTCTATCTAACGCATTGCTTTTGCATTAAAACGTGTGATTTGCATTGGAAAAAATTGACTAGTCTTATGAAACACTGCACAAGATCATTTGAATAGCCAGGCAAAACAAAACAAAGGATACGTGCATCAACAAAAAAATCGGCTCTTTTTCCTTTCCTCCCCCCCCCCCCCTCCCTCCCCCCCCCCGCCTGACGCCAGTTTCAACTTATTAGTGTAACGAGTGGTTTTACGAGGTTGAGTATGAAGACCAAATATGTTTGTCGTGACCTTTTCAGTCTGTATGTAAATTTTCATAACAATCTGGTCAACAAATTTACATGTAAAAATTTGCAGGTGGGGAGGAGGGGGGGGGGGGGGGGGGGGGGAGGAAAAAGAGCCAAAAAATCAAAATTGAACTAGTATGTTTTGATTGGCAAAAAGTGGACAGAACATTCTGCGCTATTTGCATAGCAAGCGACTATCCTTGTTGTTCCGACAACTGAACGTGGGGAGGAGCTTTCTCTTCGAGTGTGCTTAAGTATTTTTAAAACTTTTTTCTAAGCAATATCAGGTACCACAAAAAATCATCAGAATGCGTCGAATGATATGTCACATTAGAGCCCTTTCAGTCGTGATTCGAATACTTAAAATGTTCAAAAATCGGCCCAAATTCGAGAAAAACGGTTTAAATTTTTTAATTTAGCTTGATTTTGTGCGCGTAAAGCCATCTATTAATGTTCCATTTATGAAAATTTAACCTTCATTGCTAAGAAAACTTGTAAAATGCTTTTATGCTAAAGGAAAAATTTCTTAAACTTTTCATTCATTGTTTGTCCTTCATTTTTTTGAAGACAAAAGTTGTCGATTATCCCAAATTCACTAACTTTCTACGCGTTTGTATAGTTTTCTAATTACAGCGCACACTAAAAATGACAAATTTTTTTAAAAAAAAATCTGTATTTCTATGGATGTGGTTGGAACATTCTGTGCTACTTGCACAGCAACCTCAGCAAAGGAACAATTACTAAAGGAAATTAACATATGTAAAGTTTTCGATGTAAAGTTGTTCATACTTTTCTCGACATTGACAAATTTCGCAGTTTTACTATATTTTTCAAACATGAATGAGAGCTTCATCAGATCTTGTGCACGTTGAGTTTTTAACATTCGCGAATGAACATAAAATAGTCTTTCACACCGACAAGGATTTCAAAACTTCTTTAAAATAGCGAAAAAATCTGTCTAATAGCTCACCAAATATTGCAAAGGTTTTTCTTTTCCCCTATTGCCATTTCGGTGATCACACGGTTTGCGAAAGTCTCTGTAACAACTTTTTATTCTCAGCAAATTACGTTTTAGATCAAGCTTTTTTCACATCGCCATAACTTTGGTGTACAACTTTTGGGCATAGACGATTATGCAGGGGAGCAACGCGTTCTTTCCATTAAAACAAAAATTTGGGAGGTTATTTTTAGTGAAAACGAAACAATCTAAAATGATGGGTCAAACATTGAAAAGCAAAACTTTGCAAACAGCGAAAAAAAATCAAAGCGTCTCAAAAAAAAATTAAATTAAATTAAAACCCAATCCCATACAATTTCAAAATAGCGGTTTTATCAATCATGAAATTTAAGCATACATGCAACGCAAAACAGTTAAATTTTGAATTAGCAACGGAACAAAAATTACGAAGCGGAAACAAAGCCGACAATCTTTGAGCAGACACCAATTGAACCGAAAAAAAAGTATTTTTTAAGCCTCTTTGGTTAAGTTTCAAACCCACTCTGAAATTACAATGCCCACAGTAATTAAGAGGAAGTAAGACCGATGCTAATAAATGAGATGTTCCTTTCTATCCAATCAAATCAAACATCGATTTTGCGAATTTTTCAATAAAACCGATATTTGCTCTGAAAAAATCATTTTTCCTAAGTGAATATGAGCCAAAAAAAACTTTAAATATGTGACCCTATAAGCTTAAGTCAACACATAGTGCGAAAAAACTTGTGCAAAATAAACATATTGTGCCAAAGTCTAGCACAATTGTGCGAATTTTGACCAAAATCTGACAGCACAACCTTATTTTCCAAGTAGGATTAATGTACAAAATTGTAAAATCTTGGAATCCTTTCGCCCTCGAATGTTCGATTAATCAATTTAGCATAATTTATGTTTCGCTCTTTCCTTTTTTGCAAGTTATCTGCTAATATGGTCCTGCTTTTGCCCAAAAGCCACAAAAATTTCAAGACTGGATAATCATTTTTTGTGTTTCGTTCCTACTTTAATTTTTACTGATAAAAATTTTAAAATTATTTTTGATTCACAACACTTACAAGAAAGAGTCAAAAGCAAAGCAAAATTTGAAACAATAAAAAACGAAATTTATTTCAAAAACATAGCATTGCAAGCGCACAAACAATGAAACGGAATCGAAAATTTTACAGAGAGGCGAAGCAGAGCTTCGCAACACTTGAGATACAACGCAAGCATAGCAAGCTGGCGAACAGTGACGGAAACAACAAAGTCGGAAAAAATATAATACAATTTTTTTTGGAATAACTGAAAAACTGAAATTCAGAAAAACAGTCGTTAGCACAAAAACGAACCTTAAAATCGGTTTTTATAATTTTTAGAGCAATCACTAGCCCGCCAATAAATGGGTAGACGACAGTTGAGCCCAAAAAAGAAAGAAACGATCGAGATATAAGCCTTATCATCAATTAAAAAAGATTTGAAATTTTTAGCTTTTGCGCATCAACCGATCTGAATAAACTTAAATATGCAGAGCCTTCCCTTCAAACGACACAAAATAGAATGACGGAGCTGATACTACATCAGCTGAAAGCATGTAGGCCGAAAGAAGTTTTCAAAATAAAAACAAACGGAAAAAAAATAGGCAAAACCAGAATTGGTAAATTCTAAATTACAAGAAAAAATTAACACAACTTGCAATTTTCGGGAAAAAAATCTTACAGCACAAGCGAAATCAGTGATGTGGCAAATAAGTTGACAAATCATAAGCAGGCAAGCAAAGCCGAAAATGCAATTTATCACAGAAAAAATTTCAGATTCATATATCCTGACGGGCACTCAAACCCCAAATCATACGATGCCAACGCAATTGCATTACCTGTAGACTAAGTGGTAGGTAAGGATACGGGAAGTAGAAAAAGTTTAATAAATCAAGTTCAATAATAAATCAAGAAAAGTTGTTTATGAGGAAAAGTCTAGTTCTTGATTACAAGTGTACACATAGCCAACTAGCAGTTGAAAAAGAGTTATGAGCGCAAGTTAACAGCAAAAAAACACTGACTCTGTTGAAAAATCTCACTTTCGAGCTTCAAAGATAAAAAAAGATGCCCTTTGAGCTCTCTGAATTTCTAGAACAATTTATGACTGGCGCTTTTTTGATAAAATTAACCAAATTGAGAAAACTGGATCAATAAGTAAAATTTTTATTCCACGGGAAATCCTAAATTAAATTCCACTTTCGAGTTGTTCACGCTTTTTTGCGCCAGTTGCCCACGTTCGTATTTGGAGCGTGCTATTTACTTAACTTTCAGCAGATGAATTTCAACTGAACTCAAAAAATGCATATATCCCTAAGTGCATTCATAAATGCATTATTATGTGTGAATGCACATCTGTATTTATTAGAGCATTTTGAGTTTCCTGAAAAACTCGTGATGTGGCAAACTAAGCCGACAAAGCAATCAGAAAAAAGGTTTATTTTTAAAACGGAACGTTTTCAGTTTAGAAAAAACTAAACGTCTTACGCTTTTGTCGTCAAAGGCGTAGACGTTTCGTTTCCTCTAGGCAAGTGTGCAGAGAAGCCAAGAAATTTGAATTCATTAAAAATCAAGCTATCAAATTATTAAAGTGATTTTGTTGTTGCACAAGTTGTACACCTGGAAAAGTCTATATTCTGATTTGCTAACATTTGCAAATCGCAGGCGTAAAGACTTATTTTTCAAAAAAAAAAGACTTTCCAATCTTTAACTTCTCCTGGTCTTTAGGCATATTCAGCAGATAACGTACAAAAATCCTCAATTTGCTAAAAAGACGCACACAAAGTTAGCAAAAAATTGATAAATCAATTTTTCGAGAAAAAGTTTGACCAAAAAAAACTTTAACGGACAGCATTGCACTGACGAAGACGCTGTAACCAATAGATTTCAAAACGAGAAACACTTTTTGGTTGACAGTGGTATAAAAAAGTGAAGAAAAAGATTCCAGATTTTAAAAGGTGTCCTAAATTTCGCAACTCAAAGCGCAAACTAGCACGTCACCTGAGGGGTAAATGCTTCAATTTATCAGATCAGACCGGGGCGGTCGCATTTAAACCATCCTGCGTTCCTACCTTTTCTTTTTGAAAAGTTCAGGCACATAACAAAAGCAATACTAAATGAACGAGCCAAAATTAGGGACATATGATAAGTTGCACTTCTGCAATAAAACCAAAGCGGGTAAGTTTAGCTGCTGATATTTTCTGCATGTGAATATGCATCGTACCAACCATGTGCAAAAGCCAAATGAAAATACAATTTAGCAAACACTTGCTCGAAGCTTACCATAAATGGTCTTCTGTTTAAGCACTACGTAGATTTTGAGAACATTCGATCTGAGCAGCATCAATAATTCTTTTATTCAAAATAACTTCATCAAAAGGAGAAAGGAGCTGAAAACGAATGAAAAAGCTGCTCAGTTAGATACATGAATATGGCATTTCTTCATTTTAAACAGAAATACATATTTTGGATCAACATAACAATTCCCCTTTCGAGAATGGGTGAGAGTGTTAAGTAGATTGAATCATCAGAAACTCGACCGATCAGAATGTAGCAAAATTAGAATTTGCACTAGAAAACTCTAGCTAATTTACCATTTTTATTTACAGGTTTTTTTAGTAGTTACCATAGAGGAGAGACGGTTAAGTCGATCCCATTGTATATATGACAAATTCACCTTTTCCCATAACTTGAACCAGCGTCTACTTTTACCCTAGTTAACCATAACACCAGAAAACGCAATCAAAGTGCTTTTCAAACACAGCTTTTTGAGATATTTTATTTGCTCGCTCGCACTCTACTTTCCTACTACTAATAAAGGTTTTCTGCTACTTCTTAATTCGTGTCACCTGAAAAATTGGGCCCTCACAATGAAACCTGTCTTAGTTCTGAAAAAGATGACAGTTCATGAGGGTCAAAATTAATTCTAAATCAAAGAAGCTTCTAAAAACATTGATTTGAGCTGACATTAATAATTTAATCTAAAACTGAAATATTACGACAACTAGATAGATTTTTAACTTCGCCACATACTAAAAAAAGTTTCAATTTACTACAACGAATAAATACGAAACTGAAGAAAATAAATGTTAAGGATGCTAGCCACAGATATTGGCAATTACTGTATATATATCAAAAACCGAAAATATCTGTGGAAAGCAAATTCGACTTCTTCAAGTTCTTTGAATCACAACTAGCAATCAAACTACAAATAAATCAAACAACCAGTCAAATTGTTCCACTATGTTAGAATCAATTTCTGTTTTATTCTGCGCATAGATTTACAAGAATGTGTAGAAAAGATAGAGTATAAATGGTTATTTCTTCGAAGGTTTCGGGAAAACGGGAGGCGGGAAAACCTTGACATCAGATGATACTCCCGAAGCTTCAACGTCATCCTTAATGGTCGGCGACGAGACGCCTTTTGCCGAAGATTTTATAGCAGCAGCTGGACTCGCAGCTGCCGATGAGGAGGAGGATTTTTTAAACGCTGGCACTTGTGAAGCTTGAACTGGATCCCTCAGAGATTCTGAACTCCCAGTTGTACTCACAGAAGCATGGCTGCCTCCAGTAGGGCTTTGGACTTTCGCACCCTTACCTGGCTTCCTCGGCAAAACTTTTGGTTCTCCAAGATTTATTCCGCCCAATTTCTCTAGCTCCAACTTTCTTGCAGCCAGCATGGGACTGGTCTTGACTCCGAGTGGATCCACTTCAATGTTCAAAGAGATAGCTCTAGGCCTCTCATTAGTGGGCTCTGCTGACGATCCTGCATTTGATGTGGTTGAAGTCAATGAGGGAACAGGTGAAGAGCAGAGGTTCTCGCCTGACTCTGAAGAATCGACGGTTGCGTTAGCCGGTAAATCCATAACTAAGTCTGGTGCGTTGTGCGAAGTCATGCTGTATGTAGAAACAGTGTCATCTTTGTATGAATCGTCGGCGTCTTCTAGCATTTCGTCATCGGTTTCGTCATACTCCATGTCTCCTTCAGATACGCTTCCCGGTCCCAGGCTGTCGGCCACGTCATCAAGAAGCAAGCCGTAGTTTCTGGGGAAAATCTGATACGACTGGTTAATGAAAGTCTGGATGACCTCTATCACGTCATTATGGTGCAACACTTGGTCTTTGTCTTCGGGGATCGGAAGCAAGGTTGGTCCCCAGCAAACAGCCAGGTTATAGTCGTCCATCATATTCTGGTCTGAATACCGCGAAAGACACTTGAGAAAGTCGAACAAATAACGCATTGTTATCATCACGTTAACATTTAAAGAAGACACGAATGCAGTAAGCTGCGATAGAAAATCAGATTCACTGTTTTGCCTGGTGGACAAGGTTTCAATCACTTCTGTGAAGCGTCCTCTGGGAAAGAGGGGTTCCTCCAATTCTCTGAAGTACAATTTCAGTAGCCCCGCAATTGTGTTCCAGTTCCAAGTCTGATTGTCGTCTTCGAGCGGATCTTCGTGCTTGTCAAAAAGGCTTTTTAGATTATTAATTTCCGACTGTGACCCGTTCAGACGAAATATACCAGAATGAGTCAACCCACCAGGGGTATTGACAATTCTATTGATGCAGCTCGTGACAACTGGAGGTATGTCAATTTGGGCAGAAGCACAGTACGTCTCAATTTTTCCTCCGAACAGAGCAACTGTCACCTTATACTTCGGCTTCAACTGCGATGGTAGAATGCTCTGAGGCCCTCGGAGTCGCCTGCGATTCCTTGAAACTGTATTGTAAGATCCAACATTTATCTCAATGTCAACGCCAAACATCGATTCGATTATATCTTTTCGTCCCTTCAGTCTCACACAGCTGTTTGCAAGAGGTCCTCTGGTTGCATTATGTAATATGAAGGCATTTTGATGTTCACGAAGACGCTCGATGTTCTCATCAAAGTGCTGTGTGAAAAGAACGAGCGATTTTTCTCTGTTCATCGTGAAAGAGTCAAGAATGGTACTATTGTCCAGATACAGTTTACCCACAGTATCAGTGACCGTTTCTCTGCACTTGGCAAGCAACATGTCCACGTCTTTAACTTGCGATTCGTAGTTGGCAAATGAGGACTTGATTTGATCATATTTCTCTTTCAGTGAGGCGTCAAGACACAAGACAGATATCTCATCAGTAAACCCTTTTGTAATATGAGGCGCGAAAGAAAATTTGAGACTTTCTTTGGGTGTAAAGGCATACGAGTTATCGTCCAGGAACCCCTGAGTTTCTTTCATAGAATTCAATGCATTTACAGCATTTCTGAACTCCCTGACCTTCTCAGACCGTTTTTTAAGACTTTCTTCTTGCAGAAGGTAAACACTTTTGAATACACATTGCGACCACTCAAAATGACCTAGAAACATGGCGTCAAGGGTCTGCGGTGCTGCTGTATTATAGATATCATTTAGAAAGTAGTTCATTGCATGAATTGCGAGAACATATTCATTCCTGTTTTTGTTAAAAGTTGCAAATGCATCATCTCGTTTCATCTGACATTTTGCACGCTTTTTCTCGGCGGATTTCAGTTTACCGGCATTTCTTCCTTTTGTGTCACCAGCAGATTTTACCTTGTCAAATTCTTGCGATGCAGCTTCGAACTTTGAATTTTCCTGCCGATAACTCAGGTGACTATTTTGATAGGCCTTCAAAAAGCCAGTCAATTGGTTTGCCAGTATTAGAAATTCTTCGTGGCTTTTTTGCAAAGGCAGTCGGCTTTGTTCAGACATATGCTTAAGAACAGAAGTGACTGTAGCAAAATGATCCATGATGTAATCATTTGTAAGCTGGGAGTCATTATTTACATCATAACATGTCTGTTTTGATATATTAAGAAGTGAGTAAAAACACTGCTGATATCCGTTTAGGGTACGATTCGGTGAACTTACATTTCCACGCCGATTGTCATGTGAGCCAAGCTGTGAATTTAGTTTTGCTATATACTGATCTGTCAACTTCTCCAACTTTTTGCTGTACTCGCTATCAATTTCTGCCTTCCTTTTCAGAAATTCTTTGATATCAGAACAAGTTGTTAAGTGATGGTTGACGTGGTTGTCTAGTACTTTTAGCTGTTCACCGAGACACGACTTGGCTTCGACTCCGATCCCTTCTAGCTGAGATATAGCCTGTTTTTCTGTCAAACTCATCTGTCTAGAAAGATGCAAATCGTACTGTTTTTGTTCCGACCATTGAAAATGGAGAGAAACTTTGTATTCGGCTGTGTTTCTATTTTTTTCTTTTTAAGCATGCAAAATCAGGTCCTACAAAAAATCATCGGAATGGGTCGAGCGATATATCAAATTAAAGCTTTTTTAGTCGTGATTCCCTGAACGTTTTTGCCCAAAAATCAAACATTACCGTGTCGAGAAAAACCAGAAAATTTTTTTGACTTTTGGTCAATTTTCGAGCGAATGAGGTGAGCGAGCAGTCCTATTTTGTTTTTCAACCAAAAAATTTTTACCGCAAGTAATCATCGTAATGGGTGGATTGGTATATCATTTTAAAGTCCTTTCAGCCCTGATTTGCACATTTAAAATAAGTCATTATAGAATAATACGCCATAAAACTTAAGTTGAACTCCAGAAAAATTACAGTTGGGAGTCCGTTCATCACATTATCAGTCAAAATACTTGTTATTTTCTAGACAGGGAAATGATAATGATAAAAAAGATGTAACATTCGCGCGGAAGTATATATGTGCCAGTCAATCATATTTGGAAGTTTGACCTTGAACAACGCGAGAAACATGATTGGGCCATCCGCAACTGACGCAGTCCAATGGAAAAGGTTTTTGACAGAACACAAACAAGCGTCAAATACGCTCTGCCAGTCTGTGGCCGGGGTAGCGAGAAAGTTGTGCACACAGCACGTTGCCCCTGATTACATAAACAATCTCCGTGATAGTAGGCTAATACCACTGGACAAGATGCCAGGCATCAGACCAATTGGCATAAGTGAAGTTTTACGAAGACTAATTGGTAAAGCTGCTCTATCGGTTTTGAAACCATATATCCGTGAAGTTGCCGGTAACAAACAACTTTCTGCAGGCCATGAAGCTGGATGTGAAGCCGCTATTCACGCGATCAGAAAAATGTTTACGGACCATGAGTGCGAAGGATTGCTATTAGTGGATGCCGAGAATGCGTTCAATGAACTCAACAGACAAACAGCCCTGAGAAACATTCAAGTACTGTGCCCTGGATTTTCCAAAATTTGCACTAACTTTTATCGAGAGCCTTCTCAACTCTATCTTTCTGGTGATACCATTCAGTCAGAAGAAGGAACCACACAAGGTGATCCGTTAGCTATGCTTTTTTTTTTGGAGTTTCAGCAATGCCCATTATCAATGCCACAGAAACACCTGGGTGCAAGCAAGTTTGGATTGCTGACGATGCAACCGTGATAGGAGACATAGACGCACTCAAGATATGGTGGGACAAAATCTCTACATTCGGACCGAGCTTTGGGTACTATCCGAATGAGAAGAAAACTAAAGTTCTTGTCAAACCAGAGTTTGAGGAAAAAGCCAGGGAGATATTCAAGAAATCGAGCGTAGAAGTTCTCACGGAAGGACATCGAGTTCTTGGATCGGTTGTTGGAAGCCAGAAGTTTGTTGAACAATACGTATCAGGTTTGGTGGAAGAATGGCTTGCTGAGCTACAGACGCTTAGCGACATTGCAAAAACGGAGCCACAGGCCTCACTATCTTGTCTGACCCATGGCTTGCAAAGCAAGTACACTTTCTTACTCAGAACCACACCTGACATCATCGAGTTAGTTCAGCCAATACAAACATTCATAGAGGATACCTTATTGCCCAACATTTTTGGTCGAGCTATATCTGACGAATTGATGAGAGTAGCGAAGTTACCTTGTAGAGAAGGAGGCCTTGGTATTATTGATCTGACTCGTCAGAGTTTTCTTGAAAAGTCACTCTACATCAGTGAACCTCTAATCGAGTCTGTTGTTTCTGGAAGCTTTGAACTCATGGAAAGTATCTTCAGCCTACAGCAAAGAAGAAAAAATCAAGTGTACAAGAGCAATCGAGCAGAATCAAAGCAACGTTTGACCGAAGTTCTTGATGAATGCTCGAATGATCTCAAAAGAATGGTACTGCTAGCAAGTGAACGAGGGGCTTCTGCATGGTTAACGATGTTACCGATTGAAACTGAAGGTTTCTCACTAACTAAGTCAAATTTTCGTGATGCGTTATGTCTGAGATACGGCCTGACTCCCGATCACATGCCTGTCAAATGTGCCTGTTCCAAAGATTTTAACGTTGAACATGCGTTGAGCTGCTCAAAGGGTGGCTTCCCAATAGTTCGCCACAACAAAATACGTGATTTGTTTGCAAATGTTCTGTCACAAGTTTGCCACGATGTAGCACTTGAACCCCAGCTGCAAGAAGTAGACCGGACTCTAACACCAGGTTCAAATTCTCAAGCTGGCGCAAGATTGGACATCAGTGCAAGTGGTGTTTGGGGAGGTAGATTTGAGAAAACTCTGTTTGACGTTCGAGTATTCAGTCCACTCTGTAAAACCAACAGTGGACCAATTCAACAGACATACCGACGTCATGAGACAGAAAAAGGAGGAATTACGAATCGCGAGTGCTCGAAATTGAAGGTGCGTCGTTCTGCCCAATAGTCTTATCCACCTCGGGGGGTCAGGCTCCCGCCACACAAGCACTAGTAAAACGACTTGCCACCCTACTATCAGAAAAACTCGACATTCCACGCCCTATCACAACAAGCTGGCTACGGAACCGATTGAGCATGGCCATCACTCGATCCTGTATCATGTGTCTGAGAGGTGCACGATCGAGGTCGAAAGCCCCAGCTCGCGCTTGGGATCCTTATGCCATCGAAACATCAAACTCTTTGACCCAGAGCACGTTAGAGAACTGAGCCTCATATATTTTGCTTTCTCGAAAACTCAAGCCTTCACTTCAGTACACAATATTTTGTTTTGTGCCCGAATAATTAAGCCTGGACCACCTTTTAAAAACTGAATTGACACCAATAAAAACCACAATCAAATCTAATCCAGTTTAAAACTCCATTAGTTGCTTTTACAAAATTACCTCTTGATGTAATTATTGGTTTGGTTATTACGCGATGTGTAAGATTCCAATTGAATATTTATATGCTTTTGTACATGTTGATTAATTTAAGTTTTTTATAGAAAAAAAAAATTTTGGGGTGTGTGCCTGTCGGTCATATTTGGAAGTTTGACCTTGAGGAATACGGTTACATGTCAGTATTTAGACAACCGCGTATTCAGACTGGTCAGTATTTAGACAAATACTGTTTCAACCAATCAGAATCGAGACAAAGAAGAAATGTAACATTCGTCTACTGCAGTCACACATGAGGCTTAAGAAAAATAGGCCCTAAAACCATTGGCTCAAGAGTCAGGGACACTATCTCTTGTGTTTTTCCACCTCAAACCAGTCGGAGCCAATTCGGTTCGCTTGTGACATGAGACTACGACCCGTTACCGCTTAAAGGCTACTACCAAAATATCCCCCCACTCTAGAAATAAAAACGTCCCCATACTTAGGTCTCTAGATACCCAAAATACATGAACGCCGTTAAAAACCGGGTCGGAACAATCCGTTAAGTTACTTTTTATTAGACAGTGGAACTTTGATCCATTTCAGATGGATCAACCTAAAACTCGCCTTACCTCAACATAACAATTATAAAACACACTCTAGAAATTTAAATTGGTACTCACATTGTAGCACGCTCAAGAATTGGGAGTAATTAAGTCGGTAAGCAACTCAAGAATTAAATAGTGTAACTAAATGAGTTTAATGTGTGACATTCGACCAGAATGGCCAAAATGCAATTTGTGCAGACTTCGAATTTTTAGCAGTAAGCCTTCCGGATTGGTGGTTATTAAGAACTAAGAACGTTATTGGAACGATTGGCCAAACGGTGAGGGCTGGAATATTCTAGTGTTTTTAAATTTCAAAAATTCGAATTATGACGTCATATTTCTGAGAAACGTCAGAAACGGCCATTTTGGCTAAAACGAGAAAAAAAGACAAGAACAACTTTATCTGCGATAGTGAACAGGATGAAAATCGAGATTAAAAACGACAACGAACTACAGAATAGCAGAGAACGTTCCGAGTTGCAACTATTGTGCTGCTACAATAGTTGCAAGGCCGTTGCGAGCAACGGTGAAGGGTAAGAAACCAGCCTTCCAGATTAGGAGGAAATCAAGATTAACGAGCTTGATTCAGCGGATTCGTCAATCCGGAAGGGTAAAGAAACTGAAATTTTTATCCTGCCACGTAAACTTTTAGCATCCTGTCATGTCCTGACTTGAATTTAGTTGATATTTGGATTAGTTTTAACAAGGATGAGGTGCTAGTAGTTGGGGGGGGGGAAAGGGTTGATCCATCTCGATGGAGATGATGATTTTTATCTACTGAACAAAAACAATAGTAATATAATAAGTAGTAACCCTGTTTTTAGGAGTGACCTCGTGGTCTGGGGATACTGAGACCCAGCCATGAGCTCACTATTTGCATGTAATTAAGTTAATTTGAGCGTTCTGGTCGAAGCCGGAGAACAGTAACGTTTTTGTCGATCCGATGTTAGAAAGACCACCGAAAGTACTGGCTTGGTAGAGACGGTGAAAAGCATGCAAAGCTCTGTTTAGACGTTAGCCAGTCGTCTTAAGACTTAGTTTTGTTTTCCGTCGATATGTATCTTCCGGGCGAATGTTACATACATGTTTTTATGGCGCTCCTGGGTGTTATTCTTTTTTAACATCATGACCGGCAGAACCGTTAGCGAGCACTCCGCGCCGAGCGGATGCTCACATTAACGCCCTTAATAGGCCTAAACCGCCGGGGCGGAAGGGTAGTTCGGAACGCGGAAGCCTTCCGGATTACCGTGAATAGTTTTTTAACCTAGTTAAGACCAAAAATTCACGAACCAGGAAGGGTGGGGGGAATCGCGAACCCCTCATCCCCTGAGTGGTTTGTGACCAAAAACACTTAAAGATATAAGTAAAACCAAACAAAAAGTAGTATAGTACCCAAGAAAAACAAAAAACATAAAAAAATAACCGAAAAAACCAAAAACAGTAAAAAAGTAAAAAATCAGTAGAAATCATCCCACCAGACAAGT